CCCCAAAACCCCAAAACCCCAAAACCCCAAAACCCCTTTTGATTGATTTTTCATTGAAAATTACAGTTATGGGATCTCTTTTCAAGAAAATGACTTGTTCCTGTCCATTGCTCTTTTAAGCTTCTCCTCTAACGACTTCAGGTAAGCAGGTCTTGGATTCAACCTAATCATAATTAGCACAACTCTTGTCTAAAGGGTACTTACTTAGAAACACTTTTAGAAATCTTATTGAGAGATAGAGGCTTGTAACAGCCTGACTCTGGGGTTTCTAGAATAGTAAAGTTCCCTTCCTCAGGAGGCTTGCTTCCCATTCTCCTAATATTCCTAGTAAGGTTACCACCTGTTTTTACCTTTTGTACTTAAGAGCAGCTGAGATTTTATCAGTTATTCTTCGTGTCTGGATCGTAGTACTTCCAGCCCTTGTCTTAGCATCAGAGTAGGACTCATCTATGGATTGATTATTATAAGCCATACATCCTGTGTAAGGGTTGGTCATTTGATCCCTTGATGAATGTGACAAAAGGTAGCTGTAGTTATGATCACTTCTTCTCTTAGAGCTTGGACTCACCACCGCCTACAAATTATTCCAAAACGATACATTTGAGAAACACTTTGTGTATTTTTGAACACTCTTACGTGTATTTCTGTGGGTAACCCTCAAGTTGCGAAGCCTGATCGGAGAGACCTTTGACTTTATATGTACTATCGTTTTCCTCTTCGGCTTTCTGTCTAATTCTCCTTTCTTTTCAAGGATCTCCTTCAGACTGAGGATTTTCTAGAAAATTACGAATGAATTTACCGGTTTTACACTTTCTGCATTTGATGATTTCCGCTCTTCAAAGAGGGTAAGGAAAGTATCGAAATCAACTTTTACCTTATTTATGGATATTTCTACCACTTCTAGTATGAGCTTTAGAGAGCTTTTGAAGTAGTGAGGTCCTTTTGATATTGGTAGAGAGATATTGCAGCATATCTTCAAAGCGAGTTGGGATATATTTCTGGTTATTACAGAACTCTCCTGATTGTCCACTAATACGTAAACTAAACCACAGATATACCTTTTGCAATTGCCTAGTACAAGATTTTGATTGATCTCCCTTCTAAGCTTCCTCATAATATCAGTAAATCTCTGTTGCATTGACTCATTCTTAGCGGCTTCTACGAATTCCTCTCTCGTAAGGGAGCCAGAGCAGTCTTCATCAACTACAGAGAAGATTTCTTTAACTTGGTCGCTATAGATTGGCTCTATTTGGCTTACTAGGTGATTTCAATTCCGTTGTGAGTGAACAAGTCAAATATTTCTCCCATCTCAAGTGTGCCTATAAGCAAGATTAAGGAAAGTCTTGTTTAGAAATTTATGAAAGGATGTTTATGTCAAGGATTGAGAGATGGGAAGGTGGTAGAAAAGCAGAAACAGTGGGGCTTGAGCCTTGGATTAAGCTCTTGGCGTATCCAAAATTAGCAAAAGATGGATTATTTTAAACTAGGTAGTTTTCTCTACATTTTTGGGGTTATTATATTTCCTGTGATAAAATTGACAACCACCAAAATCATCTTAGTGCCCCTTATCTCGCTCTACACCATTGGTATAAATCAAGGCTGAGGTTCCTACCTGAATTATCTTTATCAAAAGTGTTAAAGATATTTTCTATTTCCTTATTCTGTCTGATTTCAACTTCAGATTTGATATATTTTTCTTTGCCTAGAGTTTCACCAGTCAGGCTTACAATTAGAAGAAGATCCATTTACACCTCTTCTGTACTTTTGGAACCATTTCATGTATGGCCTATAATTAGGATGGGAGCTCTTACATAGATTTGAGCACTGATGAGGAATCTTCATGTGTAGGTATACCTGTATGAAGATTATTATCAAGCCCTCAGCTTATAACTTCAGTAATAATCATAATAAGTTATCTAATTATGCACATTTTGCTTAATTTTATCAACAGCAGGCTCATTTTGTTACAAACTTGGCTCACCAACCTTTCAGCATATTCACTGAAAGTTAGAGATAATTTCATGAAGCCACTCGAAATATAAATTAGTTGTTTGGAAGCTTCCAATCATGAATTTAGGTAATTCCAGACTCTAAATACTTGACAACTCTAATAGCAATTCTTGCTGTGTAAGAACCGGTGAATTATTCATTGAAATTATTAGAGCTCTTCATGTGTAAAGAATCCTAAAAGAAGGCACATTGAAGTTAGGGTCACCTATCTATGTATTTCACTAGACTAGCTTAGTTCTATACTAGTCTTATACAGCATTTTGACGTTATATTGATTCACAAAATCAAATGACTCTTTCTAATTTTAGGAAGAAAATTTGTCTGGAAATTCGAAAATCATGTTGTAAGCTCTTTCTTGGAGATTAAGCCTTGAAAAATTTGAAGCTTAAATTAGCTAATTTAGGATAAGATAAGTCATCTTTAATGGTGAAAAGTAATCCAACTTTTACTCATCCTCTGATGTCCTAGAGCAAGAACATTGCTCAATCCAGAGGAGTGAGATCTTTAAGATAATATTATACTTGTATCTGATTCAGTTATATTATTAGACACCTGCAAGGGGACATAAAGCACCTGTGTTTAAAACATGCCGATAAGCTTTGCAAAAGCCTGTAATTTTGGAGATTTAGCCCAATCTGAAGGCATAGTGAAGAAACAACAGATAAAAAACTCTTAAGTAAGTGAGGCTGAAAAGTGGTAGATCTTAAAAGCTGGAAGTGAAGAATTTTGAAGCTAAGAGAGCTTTTAAAATACCATGCATAAGTCAAAATTAAACTGTTTGTTATAAAATAATCCTCATCTAAATTTTAGATATATTTAACCTCTCTACATAACGCTCCAAATAACTTGCTAAAGCCTTCAGGTTCCTGCAACTCCCATCTTGGCTCTAGTAACTTACCGACACCCTTATTGGCAAATGGAAGTGCTGCATTATTTCTCCTAAATCAAACATTAAAAATAGCCCACAAGAATAAAATTTGATAAATATTTGGTCGTATTAGTAAGAAAAGTAATTCACAGTTGGAAGAACTAACTTACGACTATTAATCCAAAATTAGGGCCTAGAATAAGCTAAATTAGGGTGAACCTCCGCACATCTTAAATAAAGATCAAGGAGTCATGGTAGGTACAAGAATTGCCTTCCTGACTGATAAGACTGCACTTACAAGGTAACCTTATCGATCATTTTATTCAATTTTATATACCAGACTTGGGGTTTTGGGGTTTTGGGGTTTTGGGG